GAAATATATAGTTGAAAAGTTGTAGATCCTATAAAATATGTGGTTGAAATTAATTATTATCTTTAATTTAGATTAAAATGTTGATATTAAAATTTTGATTTTAATCCTCACCAAATAGAGGGTTAAACTTTTTCTCCTTTTATAGTTACTTGATTGGATTAAATTAGAGATTTATGGAGAAGTTTAATAATTTATTGGAAACAAAAGTATAAATTGGTAGAATTTTTTCTGTCATGTTTGATTAATAACAAATATAAAAGTACATTTTTACTCAAACTAATTTTAAACCGCATATTTTTTTTTAGTAAAATGATTTTACACGTGTCAATTACTTTTCTTTACTTTTTTTAATGATATGTTGTCCAAGAAAATTAATTTTCACTTTAAATAATGTTTCCAAACAAACACTTCAGATGCATTTTGGCATGACCTCCAACTAAAAGTGCAAAAAAATTAAACATTCTCAATCCCAAGGGAAGTACAATTTAGAATGATGCTACACATCCAGGGTAGAAAACAGGCTAGAATCCAGGGAGTTCGCTATTCAAGGTTCTATTAACCCTTTTACCCTTATTTTTATTATTTGCAAAAACATACCCTGTATCTTTTAGTTGTTCGATGAATTCTTCCAAATCTTTTTATATCTTCTCTTTCGTTAATCAGGATCATTATCTCATGCGATGTTCCTTTAACTTTTCTATTTGTTCTAAATATTCTCTATATTTTGTTAATTTCTCAAAAGCTCTAGGATGATTTTCTTTAGTTATATATCCAAAGACAATTCCTTCTGAAACTTCTTCTCCTATATTTTCGTATTTAGTTATGACATCTTTAACTCTTTTTATTTCTTTACTGGTTTCTACACAGTCAAATCCTATATTTTGTCTACAAGCATGATTTATATCAAAATATATATCTTTAAGCTTTTCTTTGCCGACAGGAAGTATATTTTCAGATTTCTCAACTATACTTAATAAAAAAGAAATATCATTTTTTATCTAAATATAACTTAAGACAATCATCATTGGATGCAGATGCTTGTGAAGTGTTCATAAAGATTAATAATTAAAGTATAAGCATAAAAAAGCATGTAAATAACTTACAGTA